TACTCCTCCTACTCCTACTCCTCCTCCTCCTACTACTACTACTACTACTACTACTACTCCTGCTGCTGCTGCTTCTACTGGACCAGCACTAACTACCACTACCACTACTACTGCTACTGCCACTGCCACTGCTACCACCACTGCTACTGCTACCGCTAAGCTACGACTACGACTACGCTCTGACTATGGTTACATATGGTTACAACTGCGATTACGACTACGACTACGACGTCGACGTTGTGTGTCACACACTGGACTGAGCCTTCAGTTTTCTGAGAGTGTTCTTCTGACTACACTTCGAGAATACAAAGCCGTTGCTGGTTGATGCTCCCGTACCTCGGCCCAGGCATCGCAAGAAGACCTGATACCGGAGACAGCTTCGGCTTGTCTTAGGAAGCGTTGCGATGGCACAGCCTCGCACCCGAGACAGCTTCAGGGCAAGCCGAGAGGCCAAACATCGCGTGGAGCTCGGGGAGACCAAAACAGAGAAGGGTAGCTTTTGCAAGCCACCGGCATCAATGCTACATGCGAACTGTCTCCCCAAGCTTCACGACGTTCTGCTTAATGTCCAAAGCCTGACAGCTTTTCCAACTTGCTTCAGACTCGCCCCAAACCCGGGCCCTGCAGCGGTCATCTCCATCGCTTCCTGGGCCTGTGGGCTGGCTATTCGGGGGGTGAAGCAAAATGCTAGCTCTGCCTGTAGCCCGAGTGCAGTTCTGGGATTTATGCAAGGTCTCAGATGGAGCATCAAAGATCGGAGCCCAGCAGACCTATAGATTTTGGTCGGGGTTGCGGATTTAGGGTCCATGGTGACGGTTTTAAATGAGCTGCTGTTTCTCTGCGTCACAGGGCCTGAGCTCCTGGGGGAGCAACCTCATCGGTCCTGCGCTCGGCCAGCACACGAACCTTTGCGACTACGACCATTCTCAGTTTTCTTCTTATCACAATTGTACTTCTTTGTGACCAGTTGTTGGACGAACATTCTGTTCCATATTCTGCTTAGTCTTGTGTGGTTGTTATCGCCGTCATTGTCGTCCTGCGTCCTCGTCCGCTCACTAGTGTCACCAGTGCGACTGGCGATAGAGTGAATGTGACTATGGCCATGCCCAAGCGAGCCCCACCTACAGATGACTCCAAGTTTACTGTGACCATGATGGCATGGCTTTCGTTCGTGACCTATCAGCTCCGGTTAAATGCTTTCGCTTTGTTGCTCGGTGCTTGGACTGGCGAGACACTTGAGTCTTGAGTGTGAATGCCACATGCCTGCAGAGCTTTGTATCCTTCTTGACACAGTTTTTTCGGTACGTACCACACCTGGACAAACGGTACGGTCATCAGATCTGGTATCATCCACGCCAGCGCCCCCCCTTAGGTCAGGCCTCGGAGCAGCTGAAGGAGGCTGAGAAGGGATGGTTTTTTTGAGTGTAGCCGAAGGTGTCCCCCCCCCCCCCCTTCCCCAACCCTGCAGGTGTCTGAGCACGTGGCCCCGGCTGCAGCTGCGGCATGGGAGCCCGGGGGGCCATGCAGAAACACCCGAGTTGAACACATCTTCGACTTTACGTGAGCTGTGTTTGCACGAAGCTAGTGCTCACCTTAACCGGAGTTAAAGGGGGGCCTTTGCAAGAGAGTCACTCGAAGTCTCCGAGGCTGCTGCACAATTACGCTCGGGCGTGAAGGAAGTTCGGAGGTCTGTGAAGGACTGGGGTTCGGGATATGGTTGGTTCAAATTTCCGGGTTCGCGATCTGGTCGAGTATTTTGATAGATTTTGGGCCAGCAGAACGGCTTCTAGCAATGAAAGCAGCTGGCAGCGGCATTGCCTACGCGTGCAGCGATTTTCTGCGTTGTGTGGCTTGCAGCTGCGGTCGGAGCTGCAACGCAGGAGAATTTCGGAACAGCCGGAGTGGGAGTTGCAAGCAGCTTTGCGGGACAGAGTCATGCGCCCTGGCAGTTGGCATTGGTGGGTCTCGGGCATTCATGCAATCTAGCCGCTTCAGCCTCAAAGCTTCTCTTCCCGAAGGCCTTAGCGTGCTCGGGCCCGGGTTGTCGCAGGAAGATGTTTGAGCCTCGATTCATAGGAGCTTCACGTTCAAAGCTTCTTTGTGTTTGCCAAGGATTTCAGCAGCTCGTATGTTGCAAGCTGATGCTAGTCTCGGTGATTGTGAGAAATAGAAATCCGGGCCCCGAAAGCCCATGAGCTTATCAAGATATATCAAGATGGAAGGTGCTGAAGGGCGCGCGCGGTTCGCCCCCAAGAGAAGTGACCGAGGCCGGAGCCATCCCGCCATTCCCCATTCGGCTACTTCTTGCAGGATTTAGGTTGGGGGTTCTTGGGGTTGAATGGGGGTGTCGGTACTTCTAGTCCTCTGGCACGGCTTGAACCTCAGCTGGGGGCAAGGGGTGTTCTGCATGCTGCATGAAACGAACACGACAGATGTAAACACCTGAGAAGGCTTCCCTGGCGTCGCCGTCTGGATCAGCATTTGGAGTGGTGAATACGAGCAAGAACGCCCAAAAGCGCCCTGCAGGTGTCGCCGATTGCCGAAGGTGCCTTCGGCGCTGTAATGAAGGTCTCCTGTTCGAGGACCTGGTCCGGTATGTGGGGTTGAGACGTCTTGAATATGAATACCACCAGATGCCACCGAGCCTGTGATTCTTTCCACCCGACTCGATGCATGAAGGACTGGCGAGCGGTTTGCGCTGAAGAAAATCAGTTGTGCCGAGGGTGTCCAGGCGATCCGCATTGGGTCCTGCTACATGTTACTTATCGCAGGGCCGCAGAATGCAAAACCTCTGAAGCCATTCAACCGTGTCCGCATGAAGCCACAAGCTAAGTGCCCTGGGAGTGTGGTAGGTCGCCAGCAGCTTCGAGGCCGCGGAGCGTGAGGCTAAGGTACCTCTTCCCCCTTTGTTTGAATCCGTGAAACGGTAAAGCCACAAGCTGTAAATCCCCCCCCACAGCCCAAACAGAGAGGCTTCCTCAAACATTATGATCGAGCTTCTCGGATGCTCTTCTCGTCCAACCATTCCTCCGGTTTCATTGATGGAGACAGGCAATCCAAGTGGAACATCGTCTTGAGTCTTGAGTCCCGCCCCTTTCGTGAAGTGGTTTCATCAGTTTCATGCCAATGAGCTGAGATGTACAAGGGACATCACAAGTGATCCTCGCCTGTCCTCCTCGATTTACCGTTTGCTGTCCGTTGCTCTGGGCTCAAGTTCCCATTGTTTTCCAACACGTTTGACAACGGCCGGGGTCTCAATTACTTGAAGGGTACGCTGTTGTCTGCAAGCACAGCCCCTGTGGCAAGCGCAGCAAAGAGGTGCCTGCTACTGCTTGATCGAGATGTTTTCTCGTCCAGCAGGCGCTGGAACATGAACACTCCTCAAAAGGTTGTACACAAAACCGCTCGGGTGTGTGGTGCAAAGCGTTCCCGAAAGTTTCACGATGGGTCCACGAAAGGTACTTAACAATCCGCGACAGTTTTTACGCAACAGACATGCCATGCCTGGGAAGACCATGATGACTGGGTGAAACAGGTGTGCTGGGGTCGCGCCAGCTGGGCTCCGCGATTCGGGCAGGGTCCTCGGCAGTGGAGGAGACCTGTTCGAACATCAGACAGCTGAAGTCGAACCTGGAGACAGGCAAGTCATGCTGTGAGGGTTAGAGGATCATTGCCGTGTAGCTTCGCCATGAGAGCAGACTGTAGAGATAACGAGATTTAGCGGAAGATAGCGAGTTGATCTGGAGAGCAATGGTCAAGGAGCCTCTTCCTCGCCCTACCCCTGAGACATCGCAAGGCAACGGCTGCACGCGCCTTCGCAACAAAAAAATTCGTGGCGCCCCCGATGACCTACATTGCGGGTGAGGACGGCAATGCTCACTGCCCAGGGTGTATGGAATGCACCTGTGTATAGTTGCAGAAGCAGACGTCGAGAATTGGACTTACGTTATCTATTTGAGCTATTTTCGCTTGTGGTCTGAGTGCGTTGACGTTCTGTCTTCGTGGTAATTGCCACGACTGTTCTGTTTTCAAGCCTCGACAGCTGGAGGGCTGTTCAACGAAAGTCTTAAGCCGAAGCGCAGGAGATGTCTTGGTACACGATGAAGATCATCTGTGTCCCAAGCTCAGCTGGTTTGTATACGTAATAAGTAATTATACGTATAAGTATCTACACACTCGCTCACTTAGTCACTCACCCACCCACCCACCCACCCACCCACCCACCCACCCACCCACCCACCCACCCACATCCCTCTCTGCCCCCCCTAGAAATCAGAATCATTGAAAGTGTACGTATGTATATTGCATATATGTATATATATATAGATATATATATATATAGATATATATATATAGATAGATAGATAGATAGATAGATAGATAGATAGATAGATAGATATATATATATACATATATAGATAGATAGATAGATAGATAGATATATATATATATACATATTCACACATACACATGCGTATGCACATACACAAGCACATACACCTACGCAACGCATAAACACGGACACATACACAACACACACACATATATATGGTACCCCCCCCTCCAACACCTAGGTTTTACTATTTTTCGTCGTCAATAACAGTGATTTCATCACTTTTTCACTATTAGATTTTTGAGGTTGGAAAAGCAATGG